CCCTTTAATTTTGCTTCATAGTTTGAGTCAGTAGGTAACGTGGCCTCGATTATCACATAGCGATCATACGTAATATGGGGAGTAAACGAGCAGTGTAAAAATAGCAATGTAGTTTACATCAACTGTCTTTCATTCGACTGTACTATCGATTTGAGCGTGGGTGTGACGCACGTGATACGGAGATTTGAAATATTGGAGTTACATCCGGGTATTCACGTATCGGAATGTTTTTCACCCATTTTTGTAAACACTTCTATATTTTTTTTTTCGGATTCATATAAATGCAAGTTTTGTGAGTACAGTGGTAGTGTTCGGTACTAATGCAGCACACTTGGTTACGACATACAAGAGCGCCACCAGCCGGCCGTAATTAAGCAGAATCTAATACTAACTGGGTGACCATGACATGATTAAAGAGCGGTAGTCACCGCGCCGCGCACGTGCGACATTTGTGTTGATAAACATTGATTTCCCCATAGTTCAATGCGCTCTTCGAATGGAAATCACGAGTACGAGTTTTGACCTGGGCGCGGCGTACCCTAATTACCGCCTCCTTCGATACCCTCCAATTACCAAATAAATTACCTAGTTAAATCATGGTAATGTATCAGTTTCTACTCATTGGTGTGCGCAACAGTCAAAGTCGCCATCTTTGTTCATATGAGACCCATATCTGGCGCATGCGTGGCGCGACGACCACCGCCCTTTAAACAACAGTCCAACATACGCATGCGGATGTAAATATATGGAATATTTTGCTCTCTTAGACTAATACTAATATTAAAAACAAAAAAACGAATTTCCGCGAATAATTGCCGATTCAAAGAAAAAATCTTTAGATGCTTTTGAAAAGTCTGTAATGTCACTGTATATTAGCAATTTATATACAATTGATTTTTCCGGGATCTCTTTGCCAGTGTTATCTGATAATATTTTTTAATATTTGACTTGTGTATGTTTGTGTAGCTTATTAATCAATACAACTCCTTTACGCATGTGTAATTAATTTTAAATACTGAAAAAAAGAAATTGAGAGAATTGTATTTTTTTCAAATATCAACGATTGTTACATACTGATAATGAACGAGTTTCGAGTTACAGCGCCACCAGTCGGTTTCCGTGCGAGAATGGGGGAGAGTTCAAGTTGATTTCGAGCTCGCGAAATTTATTCGCTGGTTCCCGGTGTTCGGGTGCGCTATCGAACGTTTAAGTGGCGAAATCAACCCCCCTCTCCAAACGCAGAACTCGAAAATTGTACATTGTTCATCACCGACTGAGCCCCAACTTAGTCTAACGGAGTTACTATGTAAATGTATCAACTTCCGGTAAAAAACCGTAATCACGGTCAGTGGGGCGAGTTGAATGTCTGCAATTCACATTTTGGGTGCGATAAAGCCGGTATGGCAAAAGCAAAAGACTGAACAGAACTTATCTGATGTTTTTTAAGAAATGTAATATGTAATTCTCCACGCGCAAAATTTTACGGATTGCCACTGGGTATATTTTATATTTACAATTCATATATCTTTTGCCTCAAAACACACGTTTGTTCATATGGATAAGGCTTTTTATATACACTTCATTGTGAAGCTGAATCCAGTCATTATTGTTTATTATGTATGCACTTATTTTCTGTATGTGGACTGAGATGGCGCACTTGATAAACTACTTTGGTAATACTTTCACCTATATATTTCTATTTATCGTTGTCACAGCGGATTACGTGTTGTGCTCAACTTCTAAGACAGTTATTGTGTGGCACGTCAACTGTACTGCTATTTTATGTAGGTTGTGTTATCTTGCAATAAAAAATAGAAAGAAATATTGTTTTCTATGTCAGTGAATTCATCAACTATCATGGTGTTGAACTGTTTTAGCCAAACGTTCCAGATTTCGATCGTCGCAATGTTTGTGTTGCGACCTTTCATACAAGAAAGCAGCGTGACAGTACAGAAACTTCACCGAAAGTCGTTTTGGCATTGCCACCGTGAGGGCGCTGTAGCCGCGGCGTCCTCCGTCACTTATTAAAGAGGTCTCGTTCTGAACACGCCTTCAGCGTCTTGGCCGGTCAAGTATGTATGCGAGCATGTCTGTTTGACGTGTTTTAATCGATGGCACAATGGAAAGCAATTGTCCTCGCTTCACTGGAGTCCAACTAGACACGCAGTAGGCGTATATACAAACCATCAGAAGTGACCGCAAAGATAAGCACATATTTCGGAATATATTGGATCTGGAACAGTCGAGAGGAGGGACGCAAATAACAAGGCTGAAATTTACTACAAGCACATTGCCTACAGGTATTTGCACATATCCATTTAGTTAATAATTTGTCGTGCGTATCATGGCTGTGTACTGTACACATGGAAGTGTGTAACGACTATTAGGTTGACCCATTTCAGCCCCCTCTCGAATTGTAACGACGCCGACAACTGTAATTCAACCAGACTTGCAACTCATCATCAAACTGCGGACGTGTACAACCAAAACTGTTCAACAATTTCGCTCCCTTTAAAATGTTAGGACGAAGGAGAAATGGTCCCCACTAATTGCTCCCATGTCGTCTTAATATGTTTGCTACCATAAAGGGACTTCTCGTTTTGATACGACCTTTGTACTAGGTATCAAATAATTGTCACACTGGTTGCCGTGGGACGTTAATCAGTCAATACCGATATTGTGCCAGGACAACAGTAACTCTATCATATAAACTCAATCTGTGCCGTTATTCAGCGCCCGGTTTACAGTCTTTTTTTTTTATTGTGCTGGGACCCTGCATTGATCTGCAATTCATTTCGTGACGCGGTTGCGCAAGTTGTTAAGCTGGTTTATTCTGGTACGTATATCGTAGGAAGACTGTATCCACGGCACTGCCAATCAGCGAAGAAGGGAGTTTCAGTCTAACCCCGTGCATGTAACCAAACAACAGATCTGTTCGCGAACACCGCACACACTGTCTGCCATTGTACCGTGCTATTGGTTCCACAATCCGTATTATGGCGGTTTGAAAAGACGTCATTCTTTGTCAGTTAACCATGTCTATATCTTCAATGGTGTGTTTTGCCGGAACGCAACCACCAAAGTGACCCCGTGTGATCCCGAGTATACCCATTACTTACTATACTCGCCCCTTGCACAATGATATGATAACCCTCTGAATAAGTACGACAGTGTCGGTGTTTATTTCATTGTACATAAATCCGCGGATTAGTGATTTTAACAGCAGTTAAATTAGATTTATGCAGCGTCTAGACATTTACAATAGTAGCCTGTATAATTTCCACTTATTATACCCGTTAAGGCACAACATTTTAATTTGCTGTCAGATATTTTAAAAAGACTACCCTCATTCACTCACTTTGAAGGTTTTACGAATGAAACTATATAGAAGGATTGAAATAATTTTACCAAATTCCTCACGATCGAATTCGAAACTTGCATAATCTGTGAAATATATAAAAGTCGATCAAACTCGAGAGAAACAGCGCAGTGTATCATTACGGATATATTTATATATCTATCCTAATTAACATTTGATGTTCAAGATCCACATTCACGAG